GAGAGAGAGAGAGAGAGAGAGAGAGAGAGAGAGAGAGAGAGAGAGAGAGAGAGAGAGAGGTGCTCTCGTTCGCTGAACTGATCGTTATCGAGTTTTTCATTGACTATTACTCCTCGAACAAATCGCGCTGTTGAACGGCTTGTCGTTTGTTCATTCTTTCTCCGCAAAGCGTTTGATTAACGATATTTTTGCCAGCAACATATGCCATTTTTTCCGCATTACATTTTTTAATTGCGATTACGTTGCGCGAAGCGTGCAGCGATTAATATAGAAAAAAATATGTAACGCTGAAGAAAGCTTGACGGGAGAGTTTGAGAGAGCGAGAGAGAGAGGGAGAGAGAGAAAGGGATAGAAATTACGTATTAAGGCTTAGTAATACCGTAAATAGATGTCGGAAGAAAGATATACACGATGTAATGCGCGATCCATAGAGCTAAAGATCACTTCAGCGAAAATAGCTACTTATCGTCTAAGTATAAAGTAACGAACGCGTACACAGATGTCGTATATGAGAGATCTACCGAATGTGTTTTAAAGAGCGTGTATATGGTAGACTTACTTAATTGTACTAGTACTGTAACGTGACCTCTAATGGCCCCTCGATTTCTCGCGAATTTTCCCGGACGTAACTGAAACGCCGTTCAGCACTCTCGATCCTCTGACAGTCCTATTTTCAAATATTCTCAAGGTAATTGGATATTTTGTTAATCGCATGCTGAATGTCGTCGTTTCTCGACGTCAAGTGATCCTCCCTTTCAATTTTCTGCTCGTTCTCACACGGCGCGGTGCGGAGTGCCGCGAAGTCGAGAACGTCACGTCAATTTAAGTTGCGTGTGCTCGACGAACGATGAGACATCCGCGCGCTCAGTACGTTGATTTCATACGTGACAAGTTAATTGCAACGAGCATCGGCGGGCCATTAATTAAACTAAACGCATATGTATAAGTGTACTATAACCGCGTTAGTCGCGGGGAATCGCGGGCTGATTTATGGCGAGGAAACCCGAGACTCTCCCGATCACCGTCGCTCCTAAAATTAAGTGTGTTTGCGAATTCGCAGATGATATTCTCGACCAATCTATTTGTCTATAATCATCGCATTATTACGGTGTCTGTCTTGTCTAATATCACACATACGCTCACGCGACACGCACGAATGTCTCACACAAACGCAAGAAGGGAAGAAGGTAAGAAAAAGAAAGACAAAAAAGAATCTAACGTTTTGATCCGCTCTTCTTCTACACGCGTCAGGCGCACATGATATACATTTTACACGGTATACATATATATATATATATATATATATATATATATATATATATATATATATATATATATATCTGCTTTCTATTAATGGTAATTAATGGCGCTTCGGGTGCATATCGAGAATAAGTCGTATATAGATGTAACGTTTTTACGAAGAAATATATTTTGGCAAATTCTTCGTGGGCGAGTTCACGGAAAAAACTCTCTGAGGAGACCGACACCCCTCGAGATCGTTCAGTTCTTTGCGATGAGACTTTTACACAGGGTGTCATCCCTCTCGAGATGCGACGAAAGTAGTTGACTGCAATTTATTGTTCCCGAAATCGACAATCCCTTTGAAAATTATATGCCTTATAAAATTATATTTAATCCTTTCAAAGAATTTAAAGCAATAAGTATGTGAGAGTCAATTTCAAATTTGATTATTAATTATAGAGTTTATATATGTAATAATAATTGAAATTTTAATATAAGCTTTACTTGAAACTATATTACTTAATTCTTTAATCGTTTGGTCAGAGTGAAAGATATTTTTGTTAGCTTTAATATAAATCTCTCTCTGTCGATGTCTCATAATGAGATTATTTCCTGCACGATTACAAAGCAACGCGAAGCTGATCGAGTAATTTGTCGCTGACAAAGGGACACTCTGTGTGAAACTTAGAGATTTATTGTCACTCACCATACGCGCGTATGCACTCATCATTCATTTCAGTCGGCGAAATGAAATGACTCCCTTTTACTTAGAAACTCGGTGTATAGTGTCAGGTGTATAGAGTATACTGTTAGTTCAGCTAGCTTTTGCGTACTTCGTAAAATGCGCGCTGCAATAAACATCGTGCGGCATCGTGAGCGTGCGATTCAACGAGGCATATCGACGGAAGAGCGCGCGAGAGTCGTTTGAATTCAGCCAGTCTTCAAGTCGATGAAAATATACACAAAGCAGTGCATAAAATATAATCGAGAAAAAAAAATTTTAATTTAAATATTCATATTTAAAGAAGCCAAAACAATAAGAATGTCCAGGATTGGATACGTGTTCGGGTACTTTTATCTTAATACTTTCACAATGATACAAATTAAATTTGCCAAACGTTTTTAAGACTCTTATAATCCACGCGTAATTTTTTTAAAACATCTGATACCCTGTGGGATAATTAATTATTACATCTTCATAATTTTGTCACACTGCGTATGTGTGTGAGATTGTTTTATCGAAGGTTCTGTTTTGCGCATCGCTTCGAGTAAGCGTTGAATCGCGTCGGGACACGATCTCGTGGGAAATTTATTATGTACGCGCGATTCCGACTCGACTGGATCTGTAATGAAATAGAATAATCGTTGTTACGCACCCGCTTTCCCCACTTCTCGTCTGTTAATGCCATTAATCGCTAGTCGCCGTAGCGTATAGTCACGTGCAAAGAAATTAATACTGTTGTGAAGTTTGTATGTTTCGTTACGATCGAATCGCGAGGACCGCATCCTCTCCAATCCTCTTATCCTCCCGTGAAATTTTATCTCTGTCATCTTCGCGGTTTCATTAATGTCGATTTAGTTCTTATAATATAAAGAAAATAAAAGAAGAGCTTAGACTCTATATAAAAAAAAACGCACATGTGGCGGTTCCTTAAATAATTTCTCGACATGTACGAGGAAATGTTACCCGGGAGATATTGCTCTTTCCCTATTCAGTATATTTTTCTTCGAAGTAATACGAGTCGTTTGTAGAGCACGCCGTACAGTAAGTCTATTCATCAGAATTCCATTCGCGAGTTTCAAGCTTCACGAGCGTATGCACGTCAAAAGTGTCTCAGATATCCGGCCTCGAGGTGAGATCCTCTCTTTCAAGGATGCAGCGTTAGAAAACCGTCTTTATTAACGGTGCGATTCTCGCGACTCGACGACAGTAACGGCTTTATGTCTGAACACAGGTGTTCAATAGTAAACGATTAGTCTAGTAGGAGTCATGCTAGATTAGCGAGACGTAATAAATGCTAGATGTCATAGCATTATATACTACAGTTACTCCACGACCTATAGTTACGACCCTTCTATTTATCGCACCCCGTGTGAGTTTTTCCCGCCATTGGGAGCGATAGTTAGTAGCGACATTGTATGTTAGGCTAGTCCACCAAACTATACTTAGATCCTAGTCAAAATCAGTTTGACGGAAAAGTGTATGCCGCAATAACGCTCTGATTTCGTTCAATGTGTCTTTGTTATCGTGAAAGAGGCATTACTTGTTTATTGGCTGTTATAAGCTTTGTTAATAAAATATTACGAAATTTTACATGAACGCAGTCGACGTCTCTGAGTGCACTTCCATTCTTTGTTTCCCGTTAAACAATTCGTTCGATGATCCTTTTCATTTCTGTTAACTAATTATTGATGTCGAACGTCCTTTACGTTTTATGTTTCGAGGAGTTGGATAATTTATATTCAAAGATGAGACATGTTATACTTTTTATGCCACTAGATCTCAATTTATGATTTTAGGATTTGTTATAAATGTAATTTTTCGAATATTATGAAAATTCTTTCTATAATATTAGAGAGAATTTGAGCTATTTTATAATTTTATTATACTTATCTTTTATAGAGTTTATATTATAAAGAATTATTATACAATTTCGTATTATACAGACATTGAAATAATAGAAGGTTATTAGAATGAGATAATATGAAGGAATACAAACATTTGCTTTAATTTTATTAATTTAAGTAGCAAAGATTCAAACCCTATTTAGCCGAGACTCAAACCTATTTATCATAACAAATTTAGGTAAGTATTCAACCAGATCTTGAGAGGATACTGAAGCTGAAAATTTTACCGACAGAATACTGACATTTTTCTGTAAAGTTTATGTCGTATTGCTTGTACAGAATTACAAATACATTTACGCAATGAAATTACATGCAAAAATAATTAGGAGCATTATTCAATAGGTGACGAAAACGAAAAAAAAGATGAACTTAAGAGACGATATTAAATATAAAATCTATAAATGTATATCGTCTCATTTGACCAAACCAGCTGATCTTGTTCGACTTTTAGTTTCCAATTCTTTGTTACGAGGCGCCACTGTTTCTATCGACAAGATAAGCGTAGTATGAGTCAACAATAAATCAGCCGCATCTTTATTTTCAGTTATTTAGATGAAATATAAGTTGCCAATAACGGAATTAATCGGCATTGTAGGTTTCATAGTCAATAATTTTAATTAAATGTCTTTTTAATATGCGACCAATTCGGTAAGAAGCACTTCTTCACGACCGAGTCGATATCGCAGCGTCGATAATGTCGCAATCTTACACAAGATAGGCGTGAAATCCGTAGTCCTGATGTATAAGATGGCCGCCACCGAGTCAAGTTTATCCAGTGAAAATCCCGCCAAGAAAGAAGATGAATTCAACGAATTTTACACGGAGGTACGTGAATCTTGGTTAATCCTGAGACTTTTACGTGCACGGTATTATTGGTAAACCGTTATTCTGGTTTTCATGCTTTGACAGTCACGTAAACAAACTTAGCAGCAATTCCGACAAACGTCATTTTACACTCCAAATAAAATAGCAGCATACATATTTCCAAGTGTTAATTTACGCATTTGTTGTTCTAAATCAGCGTACAGAATTATGTTGAGTTTATCAACAAATTATCACTGTAAATAGCGTTTGATATCAGATGACTCCTAACCTATACGGACGTGTTTGTGTTTGCGTTGAAGTGAACATTTCATTTCTTTCGTTACGCATTCGGTCTCTCACGAAACTACTCGCCAATACCTTTACGATTAGATCACTGTATTCTGTTTTCTATGTCATACCTATTTGTTTTGCAATCATTACACTTTTCATATACTCCATTCTGCATAAAAGAGATAAATATAACATGCTACTGATAATATCATCATTGTATAATGCTATCTGTTTACAAGAACTACTTGTCTTTGCCAACAGTTATATCTATATTTTCTTCATATTCTCTTTAGATTTTAAAAACAATACTATAAGTTTGTTAAAAAATGAAGATAGTTAATTATATAAGAGATAATTTATATATATATATATATATATATATATATATATATATATATATATATATAATGCACATACATTATATAAAACATAAATATAAAATTATATATTATATATTTATAAACATTTTTTATAATAAATATTGGGTTATATTATCATATGTTATATTGGATTATATTATAATTGTTTTAACATATTTTAATATAATTTTGTTGTGTCTTCTGTTAAGGTTAAAGAAATTGAGAAAAGAGATTCTGTGCTGACACCTAAGCAACAAATTGACAGACTACTAAGACCTGGTTCATCCTACTTTAATTTGAATCCATTTGAAGTCTTACAAATTGACCCAAACACTGCAATAGATGAAATAAAAAAGAAATACCGTCGTGTAAGTATCTGCTTTCTCCTCCCTTAAAATAAGTAATCCAATCTAATTCTTCTGTCTTTTTATTTGTGCAGATGTCCATTTTGGTGCATCCTGATAAGAATCAGGATGATGCGGAAAGAGCACAGCAGGCGTTTGAAAGTAAGCCTTTGAGTATAACAACAAGAGAGAGAGAGAGAGAGAAGATATAAAATATATTACTTTGAACGTGTAAAGAAATAATCATCTTGTTGATTACAGTTGTTAATAAGGCATGGAAAACTCTGGAAAACGAGGAAACCAGATCAAAATGTATGGACGTCATCGAGGAGGCAAAGGCTCGGACCGATCATATGGTAAGTAGATAATTATACACAGAGTGTAAACAAGATATGCTGTGTATAGAAAAGATGCTGTAAGCGAACCTATATGCCAAAACTAGTTCGTATCACTACGTGATACGACGTGTGAAGATAGTAAGCATTCAGGTAAACCGTTGATGGTGGATGACGATCAAATCAAGACGTTGATTGAAAATAATCGACATTATGCGACACGAGACATCGCACAGATTGTCAATGTATCTCAAAAGACTGTTGTAAACCACTTGCACACACTTGGCTACATATCTCGCTACGATGTTTGGATACTTTACAATTTAAGCGAAAAAAATTTAATGGCATCTTCATCTGCGATTTATTGCTCAAACGCAGTGAAAACAATCCATTTTTTAAACGAATGGTAATGGGCGACGAAAAATGGATCGTGTACAATATTGTTGAACGCAAAAGATCGTGAGTGAAGCGAAATGAATTGCCGTACACTACATCGAAGTAAAATATCTATACGAAAAAGATCATGCTATGTATTTGGTGAAGCTGGAAAGGAATCGTCTTCTGAGCTGCTTCTATAAAATCAAACAATTTTTTCTAATAAGTACTGCTCCAAATAGAAGGCAGCAATTATCTCAATGATTATCTAAATGATTTCATTTAGATATTAGTAAACACTGATTATAAATTAAATAGTTTGCGATTTCTCCGCAAAGCGTAACGTCACAGCGCGTTTCATCAATTCACGCAAATGATAACGCCAGATATTCTTGCAGATTGCAGAGAAGAAAAAGAAACTGAAAAAAGAGGGTAAATCTGAGAACTCGGGTCCTACACTCCTGGAGGAAGAAACGGAAGAAGGTTACCGACACGCCGTCTGGGTGATGACAATGAAATTATTTGCCGATATGGAACGAAGAAGGTAAGTGTTGTAATTTTATTTAAAAATTTTATTTTTGTTAATTTTAAAGGGATACTGAAGCCGACGAACTGCAAAACATTTCTTTAAGCGGGACAAATTCACGTGCATATATCACGTGTATCTATACGTGTATCTATACGTGTATCTGTACAAGCTACAGATTTTTTGTATCAGGCAAATATGTACTTTAATTAACAACTCCTGACAAGCTGATTACACTCGAAATGTTAATTTTGAAATGTTTTATCGTTTTTTTTTTCATATATTGAACAATATCAGCTCTTTGGAAAATGTCACGAATCACCGTTTTGCAGGCGGGAACTGGCTACTAGAGACGCAGAGCAGCGCAAAAGAAAGCGAGAAGAGGAATTATCCGCGGAAGCTCAGGCAGCGTTGGATCGTGAGTGGCAGCGCAACTTCGAGGAGTCTAGACAGTCACGAGTCGACAGTTGGAAGGCGTTTCAATCCGGCGCCAGCGCGACGAAGCAGAAGAAAGCGAAGAAGTTAAAAGCATTTAGGCCGCCGAAAACGAAGGCGGAATCACGATAATCACGGGTATTTCATTTCCATCTCTGTTTCCGTTTCCTTTTTGTGCAGATTCTAACGTTAGTCGACGCGACATTTTATCCTAGACATTTTCTCGTAGTGTTAAGCTAGAATAAGCGCGGCCGTAAGTCCACTTTTTCGCTTAGATAATCGTGATCTGACGCCAATGAGCGAAGTTGTTAAAGATGTGCGGGAGAGAGATGCGGAATGAAAACGGGTCGGGAGCGCAATCGAATGAACGAAAGGTGTGCGTCTCTTTTTGACTTACTGTGTATATGCTGTTCGAATGACATTATCCGTGTGCGTGTTCGAAGTTGTGTCATTCGTCTGGAAAATAACATCATGAATTGTATCTTAAAGCAATTCCTTCTTTAGGAATCTTTTACTGAAGATCAGGTTGCATTCATACTATGGGTTTTTTAGTAAAATGTTCTTCAAAAGGGACGCTTTAAAGTGCACTTGGAACGTTGTTTCTCTCAAAACAATGTAACGTTCCGAAGCACACGATGGCGCGATTACGAGAGACTTGCGGACCGCATCTCTCTTCGCGAATCTGAATGATCGGAGATCTTTCCGCAACGTGCGATCTCGCGATCATAGAAATATGGGTGACTTGAACGTGTTATAAAAAAAAAAAAAAAAACAAGAAAAAGAGGAAAGGAACTTTCTCCATAACATTGTACATTGATACCACGTGTCGCCTGTCACATAACAACTGTCAATTTTATAATATACGTGTGTCTCGTACTTTTGCTATTAAACGTACGACTATCCGTCATAGGAAAAGTACAGTTAGCTGTATATTATAAGGACGAGCTCTCGTAGTCAAGGATGTTCTGCGACATCCGCGCATTTCGGACGAAGCGAATGTCCGAATCGTGCGGATTAATATCGCGAGATTTCTCCTCGTGCCTCTCGACGGAAATTACCGAGGAGTCGTCGCGATACTCGGTAAAATTTACCAAGTATCAGTAAAGTCTCAAACTGTTCACCGCAACATTGCGATGAGATTTTCGCTTTCTACACATAGGAAGGATTCGCTCTGCGGAGGATCCTATTCTGCGATTCAATCTCCTTCCACTGAGGACTTTGTATCACGATGCAAAAGCTCGATCTCCGTTACTCGGTGTCGCGATAGCTTCTTTCTATCGCCTCATCGCGAAAATGATGAATTGTTGTACGATCGCGGCGAGTCATCGATGACGAAAGTGATTTTTTTGAAATTTCGCAACTATGAACTGTGAATATATACATACAAATATGTACGTATAAATTGTTTCCAAAAGACTGTTTATTCTGCGGGACATCACGCTGCGACTCTTCTCTTTCTCAAACGTGGTCGCCTAGTGTGTATGTGACTATATATATATATATTCGGATACATTAAAGAATTTTCGACTGAATCGCGATTCACAGCACCAAGGTGTCTATTCACAGACTGCGCGCGAGCATGCGTTCCACTCGAAGAAAACGCACAGAAACCGCGAAGAACTATAATATTGTGTACAACAGGGGTGTTTCTCCAACTTTCCCACACTTCCCTCCATCGGTGGATCCTTCAAGCTACTCGGAATCGGATCTTTTCCCCAAAAAGAAAAATATAGAGAAAGACATTTGCAAAATTTTGACGGGGAAGAATCGATTTCGAATTAGTCGCAGGAATCCGTGAATAAGAAGATATATCGCGATATATCCTGAAATTATTTTCTCCGTTTCGAGTTACATCTGTATATACGCCGTTACTAGCGGCATAACTTGTTGCTAGCCGTACTAGTGACGACGTTCCCGCCGTTATCACAGATGCAATATATATAGCGTAACTTACACTCTTGATTATATACAAGATCAATCTAAGTACAATATTATATATTGCACGTCGCTCGAAACTATTGGGGAATCATTTCTTCGAGTGTCTTTGTCATGCCTGGGAGATATTCAAAGTATCCGATGTACTTCTCTCAGTATTTTGATCTCTTTAGCTAAGATATTTACATATATATACATTTTTACACACACACACACATATATATATATATATATATATATATATATAT